GGCGGGGGGAGGGGGGGGGGAGGAAGCCAGGACTCGGAGGCCACGAGGACGCCGGCTTCGCACGATCAGGTGAGGGTAGCTATTAGTAAGAGACTATGTTTTCTCCCCGTTGCGTAAGATGCACTTTGCGAGGCGGTTTGATGCGTGTATCGGCGGGGGGTCGGTGTGTCCTCTGCGTCAGGAGTCGTTATGTCGGTGATGGGACCATACCGAAGAGTTTCGAGAGAAGTACACCGTGCATACAACAGCGGCGACCCTTTGTATTTTCTCGCAAGAGTCCCTGTCAGTACCCCCCCCACACACACATCTTTTTGTTTGTCGTGTCCTAGCGTGGGAGCGATGGAAGTCCAAGTCCGGTCTATTGAGTTTGACGAAATGAGGAATTGCTGGCCAAACGAACACCTCTCATCCTCCAATGGCTGAGGAGTCTGTCACCTGGACGTGGCCAGCATACACGACTGAAACCGTAGCCGGGACGGGTTCATCGGTGGCCTTCACATTGACAACCCCCCCCCCCCCGTTCTCTCCCGCCTCTTCTACATGCACCTAGCAGGGTTTCGACCACAATCCTTTCGGGGAACAACTGCCTGCAACGGCCGGCGAGGGCTACACCGATCGTTCGGCTTCTCCCTCGCGACGCCGCGGCCGTGTTCACGACCGGCTTGGCGGCAACGAAGGCGAACAGCAGCAGCGTCAGGACGGCGGGTCGTACGAAGACGACCAGGGCATTGGCGGCGGCGGCAGCGGCGGCGGCGACGGCTACCGCGTCGGCGGGTATGAGGAGGAACGGCAGGCACGACTCGGCGACGGGAGAAGCAACGGGCGGCGGCGGGCATCCAGCGACCACGACCTAACACGAGAGCAGTACGGCGACCCGGGATGGGAACAGGAGGAGCGGGGAGTGCAACGCGGAGGTCTCGGGGGGCCGGACGACGACGAGGAGGAGGATGCACAGCAGCGCGATTCGGAGCTGCCGACTCAGTTCCCGGGGGTGCGGGAAGCATTCGAGTCGGAGCTGCCCACCCAGTTCCCCGGCGTTGGCAATGACGAGGACGGTGGTTCGGGCGGGGGCGGCGGCGGCGGCAAGGCTAGAAGAGGGGGGAGTCGGGAGGTTGATGAGAAGGAGGAGGAGGACGGGGGACCCGTGCAAGGGAGCAAAAGAAGAAGGAGGGTCGTGCACGAGGAAGAGGAGTAGGTGAGGGGGGTAGTAGCTTTGTCTTGGTGAGTGAACCGCTGATGGCGCACAATCCTGGAGGTGTAGATAGTTACCACGCACGGTAGAGTTTGATATATCGTGGGGTGCGGAAAGCGAGAGCAATACTGTACGCGCGTCGCGCATGCATGCGTTCGGTTCGGCGTTGTTGCAGACCTATGTGTCCACAGTTACGACCGTTGCCGGACGACGACGACCACCGTGTAGGTGTTTTGTAGTGCACACGCGTGAGGGACGCTCGTTTGATTGAGTGGTAGCACAACGCCAGCGCGCGCCCGTAGCGGCAAGGCAGGTGGTTGATTGTCGTGTGAAGGGTGATACCAACTTGTTGTGGCGGTGCTACGGTTATGGTGGTAGTAGGTTTGTAGTGATATGACGAGGGTAACAGAGGCCAGGAAGAGGCGACACGATTCCTGCAACAACCACAAGCAACCAACCGCAGCTTTCTGCTTGGCGGGGGCCCGCCGAGCAGCCCAAGGAAGAGTCGATGGCGACGATGGAAACCAGTCTCGCCCCCCGCCGCCCCTCCCGAAGCAGCCATCGGTTATCGGTCCTGTTGGAACGATGCCACTCTCTCGAGGACGCGTGGTCAATTGTCTTAACAACTAAGGAAGGCAAACATGAGTATGCCCCGTCCCCCTGGTTGGCTGCTGACGCCCTGCTCGAACGTCGCGCCAGTCAGCAGGAGATCAGTGTTTCCTGACGACGAAAGCCACGAAAGCCATGAAAGCTTGGACATGGTTTTGTCCCAACACAAACAGCCAGGGGGGCCGAGAAACCGACGTGCTCGTTGTGCGGTGCAATAGGCCCCTGCTGCCCCGGCAGCGCCCAATGATCTTCCAGATGTCTGATATACCTCCTCCCTCCCGCGGGAGCATGGACTACTTCTTGACTGCTGTGCTGCACCGACCCACGATGCGGTATATACTTCGTACAATGTTTCTTCTGCACCGGAGACGCGAGATGCGCTATTATTACCCACGCGCGAGAAGGGCATATCGGTTGCCATATCCACAAGGACTGCCTCAAGCAAGTCAATCACTGCGTGCCTTAACCAGCCGCCCAGCCACACATTCTACATAAGCACGCTTCACAGTGATGCAACAGCCAGTATTCAAGAGTCTCGACCAATGGCCCTTCCAGTCCTCATACCTTCATTTCTGAAAAAATAATGTACTGAGAGTCTCGCAACGGCATTTGAGCCCCTGACTCATGCGAACAATTCTTGAAGGCGCGCGGGGCCGTTTACTCCCGAGAGCGATGCCTGATGCATCCTTCCGGAACGTGGAGCGTCTCATCCCCCCCCCCCCCCCCCCCCCCCCCCCCCCCCCCCCCCCCCCCCCCCCCNCACCCCCCCCCCCCCTCCCCGCCCTTCCATCTCGCAGAATCCCCACCAGAACGAGCGCGGATCTTTCACCTCCACCTGAGGAGAAAACAAAACCATGACGTCACGAGAAAGACGCCCTCCCCGTTCCATGGTACGATTCTACCTTCGTTCATTCGCCCCGGCAATTTCGCTAGAATTATCACCCTTCACATCATCAAAAGCGATCCCATGGCGAGCAACAAACAGTCGAATGTTTTCTCGGCACAATTTGTGTAGGCAACACAAAACTGTACAAAGAGACGAGAATATTCTTGAGGTGGGTTTACGCTAGCGCCTCGCCCATTTGTCGCAACGCGTACGCCCCGAGGGAAGCCAGCATCGGGTCGTCCTGCACCCCGGTACCCCTGTCCGTCGTGACGCCTCCCAAGAGAAGGACCGCGTAGAACGCCACGCCGCAGATGGTGATCATGATGGGGAAAGTGATGAGCTGTGTTTTTTGTTCACCACCAGGCCCACCGCAAGACAAGGGAGCGGATGGACAACGCAAGGGGGTTAGAGATCGTACGTTGCTCACTTTTACAGCAGTACAGAGGATCATCTCCTTGGCGAGGGGTAGGGGCTAGAGGGGTTAATCACTGGAAGACTGGGTCCGCGCGGGTGATGTTGGAGGGCGTGGCGTGGCGTTGCGGGTGTTTGTTCCGGGGAATCGTCGGCAGCGGAGACGTTTCGTGTTGCCAACATCCCGCGAGCGGCAGCAAAGCAGCTGCAAAGCAGCTGCAAAGCAGTAGCGGCATCATTATCATCATCTTCATCCAGTACATGCACCAGCGAAGGAAACGCAGGCACCAACTGCCGGAAAATAAAAAACAACGACCACCACCACCAAACAAAGGGCAACAGCAACACGAAGCCAACGCTGCCGTACACCAACATGAACGACAGCAACGGAAATGACGACGAAAAGAAGACTAACCGGCTTGAGGTACCAGGGAGCTTCCTCGCCGGTCTCTCCCTCGAAGAGCCCGAAGATGTAAATGTTCTTGGCCCACGCGATGACCTTGTCAAGCCCCTCTAGCTCGTCCACGTCGGCCGCCGCCTGTTGCAATTGCAAATGCAAGCAAAACAAGCAAAACAAGAGGGGGAGGCAAATCGGCGTGAACAGGAACCAAGTTGGAGGCAAAAGACGCACAGAGATTAACAAGATGCACAGCGAAGCTTGAGATGGCAGTTGAAGGGAGAGCGACGGACTCAAAAGCAAGAACGCAGACGGGTTGGAACAGGAGTGTGGCCGGTAGGGTTGAAGTCCTAAGTTGGTTGAAGAAGCTTCACGAGCGGGAGTTCAACTTTTATCAGCCAGTTGAACGAAAAAAAAGAAGGCGGAAAAACAGAACGTGCGACAAAAAAGAACACAAACAAGCAATAAGCGCAGGGGTAAACGCTGGGTCGTAAGAAGCAAGCCCACGAGTACGACAACGAACCAATCAGCCCGCGGCCGGCTGAACCGGACCAACAGCGACAATCGTCCCGTCGAGATCCCTCCTCCAACCCTTCCCCCTGCCACACACGAGAGCCGTCGCATCGGTGCACCCAAATCGTCACCACATCTCACCACATGCACATACACCTTCTACACCGCTGCCGACTCGAATACAATCTACCTGTTCGTACGAAAACCACTTGTAATGGGAAAAATCTCCCCCAGTACGGCAGTACCCGGCGGCATGATACCTTTTTCTGAACCAGCGAGAACCGGCAGGAGACAGCCTACAGCAGTCCAAAACTATTGCATCTAAACGGCAAAAAAAAAAAAACACACGAAGGAGCTCACCAACGCCTTCCGCCTGCTCTTGGAGTCGAACGCCTCGGCAATGGTGTCCGGGGTGCGAGGGGTGAGCGGGTTCGCGTCGACGAAGGTAGCCGGGTTCATGATGTTGCCCTCGTTCTCCAGTAGCTCCACGTCGAACACCAGGTTAGCGTTCGGAGGAACGATGGGGGTGACGCCCTCGGCACCGTACCCATACCGCGAGGTACACCTGATTTTTTTTTTGGGGGGGAAGCATACGTTACCCCCTCTTGTGTAACCCTGGGGATGGTTGTAGTTGTACGAAAAAATACACTGAAAAATGTAGTACTGTACGTAAGCTGAAAAAGTGTAGCACACGTCTCACCACGAAAAATGGGGGGACTGTCGCCAAAAAAAGATGATGAAAATTAACACACAACACATGAAATCTTTGGTCCATCAATTGGCGCCGAATTCCTTTTCACATGCACGTAGCACCGCAACACGCACGCACACGAAATATTCCGTCGGGTGCGAGACTGGACTTGCTAATATTTTCAGCGGTCAGCAGGTTAGGGCGGTCGATGCTAACCATGTGCACACTTAAACACACACCTGCACGTGCGCGACCGTCGCGGTGAGCCAGATGACTGGAAGGCTTTTTCGCGATTCCTTCTTCCCGCTGATATGGGTGAGGTCCTTTTTATTGACCACCCGGCTGGCACGGCCCATGCCAACCAATATATCTAACGCACGCACACACACGTCACGGACTTGAGAAGGGTTCTCGTTCTCGGTCTTCCGTGAGACCCATGTTCTTTCACCGGTCAGCCGGGGTAGCGAGGCCTCGATGCCCAAAGCAAAAAGACACGCTCTCACACACACACACACGCACTTGATAAGCGCGCGGTCCCCTTTGCGGAGTCCCGCCAGCCCTGTGTCCCAGCCGCTGATCATCGTGCCGTCCTCCAGGGTGGTGAGGTACTCGTCTCCCTTAGAGAACACCTGCGCGAGCCAGAGGCAGCCGTCGCAGAGGCAGCAGCAGCAGCAGCAGCAGAGGCGTGGCTGAGAGTAGCAACTGGGAGGGGGCACGTGAGCTTGACAGCGGGAATCCACGGGACTCCTGTGTGTGTATGTGTGTGTGTTTTTTCCAACGCTTGCCTGCCTTTTCGTCATGGGTGGTGTTTCGTCCCCGCTCTCTGTCGCTCCATCTCCCTGTGCGCGCGCGCTTAGTTTTGTACTATTTGGCATCGACCGTGACCAACGAAGTGTATGACTGCGTCTGGTCTGTCTGTCTGTCTGTCTGCCTATCTCTCTCTCCGTGTCTCTTTACCTCGCTCTCTCCGCCGCTGTCCATATACCTTCCCACACCCAGATAACCCCACCAAAATCAGCACATGCCCGTTCGGTCGCAGCATCGCCCAACAGTCCCAACACCAGCCCGGCACACATGCACACTCACCTACGCCAGAAGGCACAAGCACACACCATACGGGACACATGCTATGAAACAGGTAAACCAACACAACAACGGCAAAAATAACTGGTGAAAAGGGCGACTTTTTACTACCTAAGGCTACCGTCTGTCACAAGCAGGGCAGTTAATAACACGTTGGTACAAAGCTACACATGTACAAGTCCGCCGCAAAGCGGCGCGACTGCTCTTCGGATATGCCTATCCCCCCCCCCCCCCCCCCCCCCCCCCCCCCCCCCCCCCCCCCCCCCCCCCC